AGCACAAAAGCAGTGTTGAGTCGCTGGGGGATATTTGTAGCAATAGCCAACAATACATTGTATGGGTCACAATTATACATTTCTCTTTTATGCCAAAAATCATTAGGCTATTAAGTAAAGATCATGTTCCATGAAGATATTTTGTAAATTTCCTACCGTAAATATATCAAAACTTAATGTTTGATTAGTAATATGCATTGCTAAGAACTTCATTTGAACAACTTTAAAGATGATTTTCTCAATATTTAGATTTTTTTGCACCCTCAGATTCCAGATTTTCAAATAGTTGTATCTCGGCCAAATAAGATTATTTATTCAGCTTTCAGATGATGTATAAATCTCAATTTTGGAAAATTGACCCTTATGACTGGTTTTGTGGTCCAGGGTCACATATTACACACAGAACAACAAGAGCTTTCTCAGATCGGCAAGTGCCAATTTGATTGGCTAGGCACTGATCATACAATATATTAATGTCTAGCTTACATGAGCAGTAGTTTACAATAACAGGAGGATATGTTTATATTTCTCCTCTTAAGGTGGCGCTTGGAGACTTTAAACACACTCGGCAAGAGATCGAGGCCTTGGCCATTGTCAAGATGAAGGCGTTTTGTCAGACATACAGCCAAAAAGACCCTCAGGAGAGAGAGAGCTGGAAAAGTGTGGCCAAGGACGTATGTGAGACGGTGGGCATCGGAGAAGAGGAAGGAGACGGGGAGGAAAGAACGACGACAGCAGCTGGAGGAGGAGCGAGCGAGCGAGGAAAGACCGATATGGGAGAGCTCAAAGCTCATATCGACAAGCTGACTGATATACTGCAGGAAGTCAAGTTGCAGAATAATATGAAGGATGAGGAGATCCAATCGCTGAGGGACCGCATGGTGAAGATGGAGAAGATATTCCCAGTCGAAGATCAGGTAACACCCGTATATCTAGAAACCAGCACAAAATGTAGCCACACTTCTCCCCAGTCTGTTCACTAAGAGTATGATGCATGTTGCAAACAAAACTGGCAAGTGTGAGCTGAAAATCTGATTGATTCACCTTATGCAACATCCAAGACTGCATTTACACGGCAAGACTTAAATGCACAGATCTGATCTGATTTTTTGGCCCGTCTGTTTACATTCACTTTAGACACGACTGGTATCCGATATCTGTGTTTACATTAATTCCCGTCCAAAAGGATTGTCTGCAGTGATCGCTTTACTGTGCACATGGTGGACCCTCTGGGTTTGAATGGCTGTGCTATTAAAATAATTTATATAATTCACGTCGAGTTGCGATTATTTGCCAGCATGGACAACGGCTGGCATGGATGTTTTGCAGCACAAAATCTCACCGAACGGATAAATAACGGAAAATCATTTTCATTTGTTAGGCTATTTTACCTACAGCTCTTTAGAGGTAGAATCCTTTAGTGAAATAAAGTAGCGCCAAGATTATATTTATTGAAATTAATTAGCGAGTGAGAGAGTGTGAAGCTTGCGAACAAGTCAAGCTTGTTGGTTTAATTGCAGAAACTTTATCACCTCATTGCTGAGAAATATAATGTAGCTTTTAGCTGTTGTATTTATAAAATTCACAGGGCAGGGGTTGAAAACCAACTGCTGAATGTACAATTTCTTACCTATATGAAGTTTTCATCTCAATAAAATGCGAGTGCATATAGCACACCGTCATTAAAACACGATCTTTATGTGCAAACGTGTGTCCCTCGCATTGGGGGCTCTGCGGGGAATCAGATGTGTGTGTTTAGACATAAGTCGGATATCCAGATATCGGATATGTATCTGATTTAAAACCCCATTTGGAGGTGGCTCAGGCGAAAAAATCAGATCTCATGTGGATTTTTGTGTTTACGCGTGTGCAACAAATTCTGCAAAATCTGATTTTTTTGTGCCAGTGTAAACGCAGCCCAAGTCTCATCTGTTTGTGTGGTATCGGTTATTTCCGATAAACCTGCTCGTAAATAACATTTCAAAACTGACACTACTGACTTTCTATTATTAGACAGTTTTGCTTGTGGAATAAATCATCACTGATAGAGGAAGAAAGGCATGATGTCAAGTAGTGTCCGACCACTTTTTTTTAATTACCGATAAACCGATAAACTTTTCTGTTTGGCCGCTAAATGTCAGTAGTTTTATTTTGACAGTGCTGAGAGTTTTATTTTGATAGCACTAGGGTTGCAAAGGGGTGGAGAATTTCCGGAAACTTTCCAAAAATCCCTGGAATATTCCCAAAAATCCTGGGCTTTACTGGAAATTTTCCACCTTTTTGCAACCCTAGATAGCACTGAGAATGCCACAGCTTGAGCGCAGATGCACAGAATTGATCAAAAGAAAGTAAAGAGTATATAAAAGGTATTATAGCTTTATAAATTTGCAAAAATACTATAAAAGGGTCATAAAATCAAGTTACTAAAATCTAAAATGTCTAAATGATTATGGTCTCTTTGATCTTGCTTGTGAAACTCTTTTCAAAACTCAAGAATTCTTCCAAAAAGATGTAGTCCATGCAATTAAAGGTGAATTTCATAAGAATATGGAGAGAGGGCTCTGAGAGGATTGAAGTTAGAGTTCAGTCTGACATTATCACTTACACATCAGATGTACTTATGTAACTTACTTCAGATTTCCAGGCTCTGGAGATCATATTACTCTTGGTTCTTGGCTCATTGTGGCGCAGACATGACTGATTCAGTGAATTGTTAATTGGAGACTCACTCGTGAGTGTTTCACTGAATCAGTGACTTGGCTTTTTGTTGTGTGTGATTTGTGAACTGATTCTAGTTTCATGGAAAAAGATGATTGGTGAATGAATCTCTGTCTTTCATGAACATCACATCATGTGTGCAGAGCAGGTCGTGATTTTGATATAATGAGAAACAGTATGTTTTGATGAAATATAACGGAGTAAAAAGTAAGATTTTGTGCTTTGGAATGTAGTAAAGTAAAGGTTTCCCAATACTCTGGTAAAGTAGCCTACATATACCTGAAAATGGACTGAAGTACAGTATCAAAGATAAAATACTGGTAACAGTTTATTTTAAGGTGTAGTTACTTGTTACTTAATGTAGTAATATCAGTCAATTATGCATAATTACAAGCAGCTAATCCTAAACCAAACCCACACCTTAACCTGTAGTAAGTAGGGTTGTTATAGTTAACTAAAACTAAAACCATTTAAAAAAAGACAAAAAAAGTTACTTGAAATAAAATCGTAAAAATGTAAACTTTTATTTCAGCTAGTTGACAAAGCAACACGTCTCATTTTCTACGTGTACTAAAATTGAAATAAAAATTAATATAAGAAATAGAGGCATTTTTAAAATAACAAAAACTAATAAAAAGGACAAAAACACACCAAAATTACTAAAACGTTATCTAAGATTAAAATGAAAGCCGAAAATATATAAAATAAAATCTTACTCAAAATATTATCGAAAACTGTAATAATACATAAATAATACTACTAATAAGTATGTTTAGTTAATATTACATATTAATATTTGTGTAATTACACTTTATTTTAAGGTGTCCTAGTTACAGTGTAATTATACAAGTACTGAGTAATATTAATTAACTACATGTACTTAGTATAGATTAGGGTTACTTGCATGTAATTATGCATAATTGTTATTGCAATAGTAAGTACATGTAACATGTGTAACAAGGACACCCTAAAATAAAGTGTTGCCGAATAAAGATTATAAAGTGGAGAGTTCCGGTGCTTGACTCTGATTGGCTGAGCCGCGTTCGAAGCTGTTGTAAATGACGCTACAAAGTAACACACACCTTTGTTTACGTTTGTGTGTTGCTCGGCAACCACTTTGTAGCAACCACAACTGTTTCTGAGGAGCTACATTGTTTGGTGGAAGAACACTGTTTTTATTAATATCATTGCACTTTATTAGTTTTATTTTGTGAAACCTTACTACGTATATGGAAAAAAACGTTTTATAAAAGCAATAAACCTCGTGAAGCTGTGGTTTACAGTGAATTTATAACAGCTAAGGGGGTTTTAGCTGTTATAAATTCACTGTAAACCACGGCTTCTTGGGGCGTATTGCTTTAGTAACCAAAACACTCAATACAGATGACTTTGTGCACCTTTTAAGCCAATGTAAAGATTTCCGTGCAATCTATATTTCAGGGAGACGACGATGACATCGGCTTGGATGGGGTCAGGGGTCACGAGCCGCCAGCTCAAGTCGACAGATGCGACGAGGATTCTGGCTACCAGCGGGGTCGCCATCGCTGGCAGTACCCAGAGAAATACCACAACCCTAAGCGTCGCAGAGGAGCCGGCAATCAGCCAAACAACGCCCTCTACCCGGCGCCTCCCTCGGGACACTCTCTGAACAACCCGTTCAGTACGGCATCGTCTCGATTCTCAAATCCGTCTTTCTGTTCTCAGACCTCTCGCCTACCCAATGGGCCTTTCATGCCAGGCACGGGACGCTTCTTGCCACCTCATGAGAGGAAGCTACAGTTCCCCTTTAAGAATAATTCTCAACACCGAGGCTTCATCTGGGGCCCGTCATCAGGGGGCGAAAGTGGAAAGGACCCTTCCACTCAGTCCAGTACGGATTTGATTCATACTTTCCAATCATCCCCCTCACCAAACAAAGGCCAGTGGCCAAACAGCCAGCACTGGCGCAATCACGAGAACAGAGGCTACGGCAACTGTGGGAACAGGCAACAATCCAGAAACAGGGGACGGAATCCATTCAATGGATATTTAACCAACGAACAGGCTGGAAATGCTGAGCGTAAAGACGGTGGCTCGGTCCAGCACAAGCAGGGTAGAGCGCGCTACACCTGGTACAATCCCAGCTTCGCTTCAGACCAGTTTGTTGGAGACGGATTCCAGCACAGCTACAACCAAAGCAGACAAGGTGTCTACAAACACCCCAACTCACACTACCAGCACAACCCTCCAGAGATGACCCAGCGTGGGTCTGAAGGCAGTCCCAATCCACCATCCATCCCAGACTGCAGCATGGAGACCTGATTTCATCTGCGGAGACCTGCGAGCCATAACACTCTGATTCTCTTGTGCACAGTTCTCGCATGGGACTCCTAGAAACGGTGTTTTGGCTTTAGATGCTGGGAGAAACTCCTTGTGCAATAAGTGCAATAACGCCTTCCTGTTTGAAATGAGACTATTTTATGCAACTGAGTTTTTATGTACATATTGCAGTTTCATACCTGCACCTACAGTGCTTTATGAGTGATGTTTTTATGTGCGCACATATCTATATGTGACCCAGGAGCACAAAACCAGTCATAAGGGTCAATTTTGTGAATAAATAGCTTTCCATTGATGTAAGGTTTGTTAGGATAGGACAATATTTAGCTGAGATACAACTATTTGAAAATCTGGAATCTGAGGGTGCAAAAAAATCTAAATATTGAGAAAATCATCTTTAAAGTTGTTCAAATGAAGTTCTTAGCAATGCATATTACTAAACAAAAATTAAGTTTTGATATATTTACAGTAGGACATTTACTAAATATCTTCATGGAACATGATCTTTACTTAATATCCTAATGATTTTTGGCATAAAAGAGAAATGTATAATTGTGACCCATACAATGTATTGTTGGCTATTGCTACAAATATACCCCAGCGACTTAACACTGCTTTAGTGCTGCAGGGACACATATTGTTATTCAGATGTGTATATATATATATATATATATATATATATGTCTAGACGTGGGTTATAAATTGGAAGGGTATGTATTTGCAAGAGAATTTAGCTCATTTTAATGCACAGTGCACAGTTCTGACCTGAGAAGTGTTCGGCCTATAGAGATTTCTGATGATTTTACATTGTGCCTGCTGAAAAGCCAAAGATCTTTGATTTAGTCGCCCTCAGGCTCATAACTGCTTCGGATGCCATTTTTATAGTTTACATTTTTCTCCTTTTTTATCTTGGCATTCGTGTTCTTTTATTCTTGCATCCCGAGGGGCGTGTGTTTCATGAATTGTGTTGTTTGGAGGTAAAAAAAAAAAAGATTCATGATCCTAAAACAGTTAAGGGCAAACAATCAGGGAGCCAAATGCACTACTTGTACGACTACTTCTGTGTTCTGCTCAGTAAAGCTCGGGAGTTTCCGGTTAGGGTTTAGTGCACCTACATACAGACAGATTATTACTGCATTTAAAAAAAACAATTAGTCCTATTCTCTGCGTTAACATGAAATATCTTCAACCTGCTGAAATGTTCCTATGAATATATTTCTCTTCCAAATATGCATTCTGAATAACAAATAAATATATTTCCCCACTAACCTGCCACAGTCCAGCGCTTGTCTTCACATTTTTCTCTTACTGATCGTATTTCATACCTGTTGAATTTACAGTTTTAAATGAATTTGACTGATAAACACCCTTACGAATAAACTGCTTTTTTTTGTGGTTTACCATGTGTATAACCAAATTTAAACACCATGGTTAAACTATGGTTAGTGTAGCAAAACCCGGGTTTATTTGTGGTTTATTATGGTTTAACTACAATTGCGATTTTTGTTTTGTTTTATTTGTAATAAAACCATGGCTAATTTTCGTAAGAGCAATTTCAGAAATTTCGATTTCAGTGTTCAGTGTGGAAACGGCCTTAAAGAAATTGAATGATGCTAAACATTTAATTAATTTTAAACAGTAACGCAGTTGACAGTGCGCCTACTTTGAATATTCATATTTTGCCATTACACACAGTGAAATGACTGTGAATGAAAAATGACAGAGACTAGTGACATTTACATAGGCTACATATTCTGATCTGATCTGCTGTCGCTTCATGCATCAATTGGTGTTTGATGATTATTTTTGGCCAGAATAAGCTGCAATGTGGAGCAGACTTCATGGCAAAAGTCTTGAGTCTGTGACACTAGCCAAATCCTGCACCGTTTGTCTCGGTAATAGACCTCAGTCATGGCAGAGCCATATTTAATGTTTGGCTGTGAGGGACTGAAGCACAGCATAGTTTAGCAATAGTTTAACGTCTTTCCAAAAGTCTTCCAGTCGAGCGTTTCAGTTGTGAGTTCTGAAAGTGACGTGATCTATGGCTCTGTCTTTGTCGTCCGTGTAACATTTAACATGGCATCCGTACTATTAGGCAGTTCTTGATCGCAGAATAAATCATGGGTGACAGCTGTTGAATTTTTTGGGGTTTTTTGTGCCACACTTTGCTGAAATTATAGACAATTATGACTTCTTGCTGGATTCTTGTTGTGTTGCACCTGGTTAGGGCACGCTGTTTGACCCCTTGTAAGTTCTCAACTGATCTACAATTGGATAAATAAATAATTTAACCTTAACTACCCCAGTAGTTTTATTTATTTAATAAAAGCACAATGAATTATGTATTGTGTATAATTTCCAAAAATTACAGTATGGACCAAAAAACTGTTAAGGTGTCTTAAGGTTTGCATTTGACCCCACCAAATATACTGAAATAAAAGTTAAAGTATTCTTCATCCTCTTTGGCATTAGGCAGTGTAGGCGATAAAGAGAAGCATTGGAATGATGGTCAGCATTGTTTTCTGAGGTTATTCAAAGGTATATTTGCTTGAAGCCAGCAGTCAGTATAATTTCAACAATTAAAAAAAGTATAATAATTGCAATAATTAGCCAAATACCAGTGAAGAACTACACTACTTACAAATCCTAAAGAGAGCTGTCAATAAGACAATCGCAGCTAAGACACCAAGACGGGAAAAAAAAAGTTACTGCTGTTTACCTGTATTTGTGCAATTAGTGTACATTTACAGTATGTGTCACGTCATATTGTCATCTAATTGAAATCGTCATTGGTTTTGTACCACTTTTTGTGTTTTTTCTGTAATCATTGGAAGCTTATTTCCGTCACTGAATAAAAATGGTAATTGAGACTTTTTTGCATAGCATTTTGTCTCACAATCTCACAACAGACGTTTCTTCTCAGAATTGTGAGTTCATAGCTCGCGGTTGCAAGCTATAAATTCATAAATGTGAGTTTACATCTAGCAGTTCTGGATGTGTTCTTTATTTTTCTCTGAATACTGAATCTGTGTCTCGCAATTCAGTTTTTGTTTCCAGCACGAAATTAAAAAAAGAAAAAATAATTGCAATTTTTCTCTGAATTTTGACTTTACATTTTGCAATTCTGTTTTTTTTTTTGATGCTTGTCAGCTGCTTTGATGATCTATATTGTATAAAGTGCTATAGAAATAAAGGTGACTTGACTTTTGAAAATTGCCTCTGTGGTTCCTTTTCATGTGGAACTCAGTGCTGCGTCATGACATTGATACTATGTGAATGCTCCTGCAGCGCTTGAAGCACGTTTGGGAAATATGGCAATTCTACTGGCCATCAGAATGGTGACGTAACGTAACTGCATCACCATGACCATAAATAAAATCCTGAAATGCACGCCACCAGATTCTTTGTCTTCAGGTAGCCGTTTGTTTGCACGTCTCTGTGTTAAATCCTTTGTGTTCTTTAGGAGTAAAAAACATTTTGGTAAAAGTTCTGTAATCTCTCTGGGGTTTTATGTGAAAGATGGCATCCGCAAAAAAATGCAAGCAGTGTGTTCCGCCATACTCTCGCTATCTGTGTGTGTCATCTGCTTGGGAGCGGAGAATGCTAGATCGGCTCTCGAGGGAACCAATTACCCTCATTGTGAACATTTCACTTTGAGGAGGATCCACTCATGCCTGGCTCTTTTCATTAGCAATGGGTGTCAGCCGTCTGCACCCGTGGTTCGGGTCCAAAGTCTGCCAAGGCGGCGCTCTAACTCAGGTCGTGGGGGTCCCAGATGGAGATCTGCCATTCTTCACGGATTCAGGTATTGAGGTCTTGGGGCAGCCAATACTTGGCTCGTATTCACAGTTGATGGGACGCTTGCTAGCTATCTCTCAGCTTCGGCATCATCATTTAAAAAGGTGTACCAGGCTGTTAAAGAACTGGACTCTGGCAAGGGTCTTCATCCTGAGTCAGTCAAAGAACTCCCCAGGGCCACAGAATTAGCCCTCTGTGCCACTAAGCATACGGACCCTTGCTGTTCGATGACTGTGTTGGTTGCCATGGTTGGTTGCATCTGTGACTCAAATTGTCTGGCATCAGGGAGAAAGAGAAAAGCTTCCTTCTGGACACTCCGGTTTTACCATCTGGCCTGTTCATGAACGCAGTTAATACTGTCGTCAACAGGTTTCAGGTGGCCAAGAAGCAATCGGTGGCATTCAGACAATTTCTCCCTCACCGGAGCCAGGAGCCATAAGCTTCCACAAGCCGTCTCCAGCTAGACCCTAGCCTCTCTAACAAAGAAGGGAGGCGCAATGGGCCAGTGTGGCTGCCCAAGTTCCCCCCAGCAAGATTGGTGGCATCGCACACAGCTGTCCAAAGCAAAGGCTGTTTTAAGGACAGTCATCATTGTTAGGATGGCTAAAAAGAAACTGAAGGTCATGACTGCAGGGCGATGAGGGTATCTCCATTACATCGAGTCTCATCTCCCCCCTTGGGGACTCCTCCACTCACCCTGCCACCTCTGGTGTTTTAAGAGGCGGCAGTACCTGTCGGGGCTTCCCCCCGATCTTCGCTCAACAAAGCTCATGGAGAGTAGCTATTCAAGAAATATTGAATCATATAAAGATGTTTGAGGCGACAAGTTTGAGGGGTTCCTTGCCAGTATACTGTTTTAAGTTCCCAAACAAACGACCCCCCTGTTACAAGTCGAGTCAGGTTTTTACAGCCATTACTGTCTAGTCCGCAAGAGGGAAGGGGGGTTGCATCCAATTTTAGACCTGCGGGCTCTGAACCATACTCTGCAGACTTACAGGTTCAAGATGCTAACGCTCAAAATGCTTGTCTCATATTCAATCTGAGGTTTGGTTTGTTAAGATGGACTTAAAGGGGACATCGGATTAAATGTTCACTTTTTTTGCTTTTAGATCTGGCATGTCTGCCAGCTCAGAAAATATTAAAAGAAAACACGCAACCAGTTTGTTATGGGCTGTCTAAGTCTGAAACTGTGTCATCCACCGAGCTGTTTCAATATGCAGCAGGTTTCTATGTAAATAGCTAGTTATTTGAATAAGACCAACTCCAAGCCATATATGAAGTCCAAGGATGCGATTCACGTTTTGTGTTGACGCCCCACAGAAGAGAGGAGCGGGGTTAGCAGAGCTCATTACCATTTAAAGAGACATTCACCGAAACAGGTCGCTGTGAACAGAGCTGTTTTTGACAAAGTAAAAAGGGTGTTGTTTTACATGACCGTTTAGGACTTTTAACCAAAGTATGTTATAGACATTT